TTGAAATGATTCACGTCACGAGTTCAACTTACTGATCACATCTGGTTAACATCTCACTGAAGGAGAATATTATACAATATTATATTGTAATTATTATAAAGTAAATAATAATGTAAGTATAGTAATATTGTTGAATAGCAGCTTACATTTTTATTTGTTCATATGACTTCAAAAGACTTTGAAATGTTCACTGCCATTCAAAAGTTTGGAGTCAGGAAATTAAGAAATTAACACTTTCAGCAAGGGCTCATTAAATTGATTAAAAGTAAAGACTTTGTTACAAAAACAAAAGTATTTCAGTTATTTTTTTGGTATAATTTAATCAAAGAATCCTTAAAAAATATTTTACATGAAAATTTTTAAACATATTAAAATAGAAAACGTCTCGGTTACGTATGTAACCCTCGTTCCCTGAAGGAGGGAACCAAGATGTCACGTCGGTGACCGACGAATTGGGATCTCTCACAGCGTGAGCATAAAAAGGCAGCCGGTGCAACGCATACCAGGTTTTCGCTGAGGAGCCGAGCCGGTGACCTGGCCGCTCAGCGGTGGTACAGCAGCCGTGGCGACAGGACGTGACGTCTCCGTTCCCTCCTTCAGGGAACGAGGGTTACATACGTAACAGAGACGTTCCCTTTCAGTTGGTCACATGAACTGTCTTTAACTGAAAAATGAGTGTTTACTATTGTCATTTTGCATTATTGACACTATTTTCCTAATTAATGCTGTTCAGTTGCTTTGTCACAATCTGTATTGTTAAAAGCGCTATATAAATAAAGGTAGAAAAATGAAACAACCGCTTAGGTGCCGGAAGATTAGAGGTGATTATAACCCTCTTGGAAATGGCAGAAGTCTGCCTGGGAAACACGGGCTCTGAGGCTATACCGTGGACTTTATACATATGGAATCCACTTAGGTCTCTACATATGGAACCCAGCCCTCTACCGGTTCTCACGGATTCATCATGTGAGGGCCTGGCGTTCCGAAACGTCTGGCTGCCGAGGGGATGGAGGAGCTAGACAGGGTCTACAGTACGGACACTCTGGAGCAGTTTTAGCAAGCCAACATTAAACCGGGGCCTCTCAGTGCCTCTACCCGTTTGAGGTGAGAACACAGGAGGATACCGGCTCCACACGAAGGCTATAGAATCTAGCGAACGTGTTGGGGGTCACCAGCCCGCAGTTCTACAAATATCTCTCAGCGAGGCGCCACGAGCCAGCGCCCAGGAGGATAAAACACTTCTAGTAAAGTGAGCTCGCAACCTGAGCAGGCAGGGCACACCCTGTGCCTGATAAGCAAGGGTGATGGTATCCACAATCTAGTGGGCCGTCCTCTGCTTAGAGGTACCATCTCAAGGCTTGGATGGGACAAAGCAAAGCTATGGCTGGGTCTGCCTCCTCCGGGGGCAGCGCTTGCAGGTTCACTACCTGATCCCTGAAGGGGGTAGTAGGAACCTTGGGAACATAGCCGGGCCGAGGCCTCAGGATTACCTGAGAGTTAGCCGGCCCAAACTCTAGGCACGAATCGTCGACCGAAAATGTGTGCAGGTCCTCTACCCTCTTTATGGAGGCCATTGCAAGCAGGAGCAGAGTTTTCATTGAAAGAAACTTTAGCTCGACTGACTGTAAAGGCTCAAATGGGCCCTGCTGTAGTGCTTTGAGCACTAGAGACAGGTCCCAAGAGGGTATAGAGGGGGGCCGGGGAGGATTTAACCTGCTCGCCCCCCTAAGGAACCTGATGACCAGGTCATGCTTCCCTACCGACTTCCCTTCCATGGGACTTTAAGAGTGGAGGGAGACAGCCTTCGCTCTAACCCTTGCTGCAAAAGTAAAAAGGAAAGCACGACCCTGCTCGGGCATTTCCGGGGGTCTTCTCGGTGAGAAGAACACCATTCGATGAACAGGTTCCAATTCAAGGTGTAAGCGTGTCTCGTAGATTGAGCTCTCACCAAAGTGATGGTGTCAACTTTGGGGTAGGTCACCTAGAACCTCCGCGTCCCGTCCAGGGACCAGACATGAGGTTTCCAGAGGTCTGGACGTGGGTGCCACGGGGTGCCCTGTCTCTGAGTCAGTAGATGCTTCCTCAGAGGAATCTGCCAAGGAGGGGCTGTCACGAGGAGTATTAGTTCCGGGAACCAGGTCCGAGTGGGCCAATAAGGCGCCACGAGCAGGACCTGCTCCTCATCCTCCCTGATTTTTCACAGTGTCTGTGCGAGAAGGCTCACTGGGTGAAGCCAAAGGGCAGGACCTTGTACTGATATGCACGTCCTTCGGACGCGAACCGCAGAAATGGTCTGTGGCGCGGAAGGATCGACACATAAAAGTACGCATCCTCCAGGTCGATTGCTGCAAACCAATCTCGGGGATGGATGCACCCGAAGATGCGTTTCTGCGTCAACATCTTGAATGGTAACCGGTGAAGGGGCTGTAAAACCCCATCTTCATATCGGCTGGAGGGACCGGCTCTATCACGTCCTTCGTGAATCGGATGCCACTGAACTTGGGGGGAGGCCGGGCGAACTGAATTGCATATCCGAGGCTGATGGTCTGCAGAAGCCTGTGAGACGGACTGGGTAGCGCTAGCCAGGCACCCAGATACCGTGCAAGCGGGACCAGCGGAACCACCGCCATACCCGCAGTGGGGCAGCGAGGTGGAACGCAGGGACCCAACTTGGGTGGCTTGTGGGCAGATCGAAGAGGGGTTTGAGTGTGCGGTGCAACGCTTACCTGGTTCCACAGTTTGGCAGAGGGTGCGTGAGTAGGGCATTTGTTGATGCTTTCGAACCACCTGCTGCTGCCTGCTGGCGACGGAGGAGGATGAGTGTGGTCCGGGCTTTGGTCCATCCGCGACTCTCCGTGCCCTCTTGGGACCTTTTGTCAAGAATTTGGGTGCCATCGACCATGAGGCCGACGGCGGGGGAAAATGAAACTAAAGATTCTCCACCCGGCCCTCCTCCGGGGAGGGAGTGGTGAGATCACCATCTCTCGAAGAGCAGATCCCTCAATCTCTCTCTGGGTCGCCCGTCTCAGTGCCACTTGCTCTTCCATTTACCGCCAGGTTTGACGGGGGCTGGACAGGCGGGGTGGCCTGCCTACACCCGGCTCCACGGCGCTGCTTGGCTGGAGGCTGCGCCGCAGGAGCGGGAGTGGACGCAGGGGGCCGCCCTCGGCGACGAGCAGGCTGGGGCGCTGTGGCCTGTGGACGCGTGGAGGCAGCAACTGACCACCGGGGCAGGATGTGACGAATCGCCTCAGTCTGCTTCTGTGCAGCCGAGAACTGCTGGGCAAAGCTCTCGACCGCGTCGCTGAAGAGGCCGGTCTGGGACACAGGGGCATTGAGGAACCGTACTTTGTCGGTGTCCCTCATGTCGGCCAGACACAGCCAGAGATGGCGCTCCTGGAACACAAGTGTGGACATCGTATGGCCCAGAGAACTCGCTGTGACCTTCGTCACTCGGAGCGCAAGGTCAGTGGCGGTTCGGAGCTCTTTCAGAACTTCCGGATCATGACCACCCTCGTGCAGGTCCTTCAGTGCCTTGGCCTGATGAACCTGCATTAGCGCCATAGCGTGTAAAGGCGGAGGCAGCTTCTCCACAAGCCGTATAAGCACAGCCGGTCAGACCAGACAAATGCCAACAGGCCCGGGAGGGGAATGACGGGTTTCCCCGCCAGGAGGAGGCATTCTTAGGACACAACTGCATCGCTACCGACCGCTCCACCGGAGGGATCGCCGTATACCCCCTAGCTGCACCCCCGTTGAGGGTGGTGAGGGAGGAGGGTAGTGAGGCTGCAAGCGGGCAGCCGCAACAGGGGACAGGGGGGTAGTGCAGCCTGAAGTGCGCAACCCACTCAACACAGGAACGACCATCGCTGAAGCGCCGTCCGCCAACACAAGAAGCTCCCTAGAGTGCGCTAGACTCGTCACACACAAAGCAGTTTGGTAGGAGCAGAACGATGTTGTCGCTCGGCTCCGAAGCAAAAAGCTGGTATCCATTGCACCGGCTGCCTTTTTATGCTCATGCTGTGATTAGCGGCAGCTGGATGCAATCATCGCATGCCAATGTGCATTGGCTCATTTAGTTTACACTCAAAGTGGATTGGTCTCTCTAAGCGAGATCCCAATTCGTCAGTCACCGACGTGACGTCGAGAGTGACCGACTGAAAGGGAACTGATATTTTAAAGTGTAATAATATTTCATAATAGTACTGTTTGTACTATATTTTTATCAAACAGTTTAAGTTGAACATAAGTTCAGAAGACTTCTTTAAAAACTCTTTTTAAGGATGCTTCATTAAAAGTTTGATTATTCAAAAATGAGTATGTTTGTATGAAAGTATGGTTTGGAACAACATGAAAGTAAACGATGGCAGAATTGTAATTTGTTGTTGAGCTGTCTCTTTAAGGGCACAAATATGCCATTTGGAAGTCGCCCACTCTCTAGCTAAGTCATACAAATAAATTCAGACAGAAACACACACACACAGGCAGCAGTCCAGACTGAGAGGCATATAGTCGAAGGGAACAGCCAGCAGTCATGCGTGGCCAGAGAGAGTGAGAGAAAGCAAGATATAGTGAAGCGGCCATGCCATATTTCACCCACGGCCCCAACCCGGCACACACCACACTACAAACCACCTCTCTAATGTGCGTTTGAGTGTGTGCGTGCTCTACATATGTTTTTCGTGTCTGTCTGAGAAAGGGTTGCTGGAACAGGTGGTAAAAATTTTCACCAGTTCTATTGCTAAAACAAGGCTTTGAGTCTGGCACCCCGGGAGCACCTGGAGGTGCAGGCACGCCAGACTGTACCTCCTGACTGCAGCACTGCGATAGTCCAAGTCGAAAAACACATCAGTGGTGCGGTCAACACCTGTGTGCAAAGACAGCTGGTTTTCTGAAACCGAAAGGCACATCTTCGCTTGAGTTTGTTTGCAGTTGGCGCATCAAACTTTGCCAGACTTGCTGACTGATATTCCCTGATTTCTTTTCCTTTTTCCCCACAGCAGACAGACGATTCAGCACAGACAGACAGCCAACCGCAAACACAGTCATCTGAAAACAGAGAAAACAAAACACAGCCCAAGAGGCTCCACGTCTCCAACATCCCCTTCAGGTTCAGAGATCCAGACCTCAGGCAAATGTTTGGCGTAAGTACCTGTTCTCTCTCTTTCTCTCTCTTACTTTCTCTTTCTTACTTACTTACTTACAGCAGACCGTGAGCACGCCAGCACAAGTGTAGCTAATGTCTGAGGCGTGTGCTAGTGCACTGTTCTACTACTTGTCGGATGGGATTTGAAGCTTGGGTACGATCTGTGATCTGGGTTAAGCACAGTCTTTAAGGGTGTACTCACACTAGGTGATCTGAACCGTTTGAGTAGTGTGATTGCTCCGAACTGAGCCCGAGCGTGGTTTGCTGAACCGTGCCCTGGCCCACTTGGAGAGGTGGGCTCAGGCACGGTTTGATTGGGCTCGGGCGCGGTACGCATGCTGTGTGATCGCTAACAGCACCGGAGCACAGAACAACAACTATTTTTGTGTGTGCTACTGTCATCATTATGACAACAGACATCTTCTATTGTTACTTGGATAGTATACTTTCAATTATTTTGAGTATATTTAGGTTTATAACGGAAATGGTTCTCACCTTATTGATGAACAGTGGCATGTAACGCTGCAAATTCCTCCATCAGCATCATCTGCTTCCGTAATAACATTCTAATACTTGCAGCACAATTGAAACAATGAAAATCCCTGGGCTACATATGTAATAAATCCATTAGACAGCCTATTAGCGAAAGCGCTTTTCTTCCAGTTTTCTTCTAATCAAAAAGTTGCATCGTAATGACGTAAGCATGCTCCGGCCCAAAACTTCAAGTGCAATGTGAGTGCAGGCCAGCGGGGGAGTGGGGAGGGGAGAGAATCGCGCTCGGGGCTCGGTACAAAGTAACCATGCCTAGTGTGCCTCTATATACTGTGTATATATATATATATATATGTATGTATTTATTTATTTTTTTCGAAAGAAACAAATAAAGAAATACTAATATTCCTCTGTAGGACATATGACAGTAAACAAAAAAGTACATTTCTATTATCAAAATAAATTATGTTAAACAATCCTGAGAAAATTATCACTGTTTCCCCAAATATGTATAAGCAGCACAACCATTTTCAACTGTGATTATAATTTTTTTTTTAATTGAACAGCAACTCAGCATATTAGAATGATTTTTGAAGGATCATGTGACACTGAAGTCTGACGTAATGATGCTGAAAATTCACCTTTGCAAACACAGGAATAAATGACATTTTAAAATATTTTAAAATACAGTTACAATTTTGTAGATATGGACAGTTATAGGCTTTATACACTCTAAAAAAATGCTGGGTTGTTTCAACCCAACTTTGGGTCAAATATGGACTAACCCAACTGTTGAAATTTTTCAATTACATTTTTAACCCAAAAGTTGGGTTAGTCCATATTTGACCGAAATTTGGGTTGAAACAACCCAGCATTTTTTAGAGTGTACTTATTTTATATATTTCACAATATCACAAATTTACTGTATTAAACTATTACTGTACAAATTTACTGTATTTAATTAAATACAATTTTGATAAGCAAAAGAAATGTCTTTTAAAAAAAAAATCTTCGCATCCTCAAACATTTGAATGGTGGTTTTGTATATATAAAATGATTTATTAAAATTCTTTTTTCATTTATTAAGTGGAAAATCAAAATGAATTTAGACAATTCGGTTTAAATGAATTTTAGTGAAACCTTTATATCTGTTAAAGCTCTATTTTTGACCAAAGGATTTGTTTTTCAGTATAAAAAGAAATGGCTTAGTGGCTTAGAAGGGTGAATAATTGGTGATTTTTAGATTAACTAAAACATTTAAAACACGTATCTTAATCCAGCTTGAACTGAAGTATGTTTTACATGTAAAATCAAATTTAGACAATGTCTCATCTGTGTTATGTTCTCTTTCCAGCAATTTGGTAAAATCTTAGATGTTGAAATCATATTTAATGAACGAGGATCAAAGGTACGTTTGTGGCTCACTTCCTTTGCATGCTCTCATTCTTGACCAATCAGAACAGTCCAGTGAGTTTAGAGGCATAAATGGACATCATGCTTATTTAAAAAGGCAAAATATCCAGTGATGAATTAGTACCTGTATTGTACAGAATAAATACTTGTTGTAGTCATGTTAACGTATGTAATGCAATCTCATACCAGCTGCTGTGCTAGCGTTATTAGTGCCCTGTTCAATGGAGTGTGTGGAAATGTGTTTGGCACTTGTCTTTGTTCTGTTATGGTGTCAAATGAAGAACATTCTCCACTGAGCTCCGTAATTGACAGTGTTATTCAGTGACACTTAGCATCATTCCTGTGCACAAACAATTCTCTTTATTGAAATATGAATTATGTTCTTCTGTTCCAGCTGGGGGAGATAATGATGCATGTTAACAAGTTCTGTAGTTCACAATCCTTTATCATTTGTCTTATTTCTTTTGTAATGATGTTTCTTTATGTTGCATTATACAGTGTTAAATGCCAGCATTTATTTTATTCCACTTTTTTCAAATAGATTTTGTTTAAGACTTGTTATTAAAGGTATATTCCTTTGTCTGCTTTTTGTTTTTCTCTCTTTTTTAATTTCATTTATGTGACTTTACGCTTTTAGATGTGCTATTTCATTACATTTCTCTATAGAGGTTCTAACAGAACCTGTAAATTATGGTTAATCTCGATGCTTTGCATGGTGCAGGAGAAAAGAGGAAGAGAAAGAGAGAGGGGTAAATGCAGCAGCAGCTGTTTTTGTGTGTGAGAATGGCAGAGGTAGAGCCACAATGGATTTCTTGGGTGTATGACTGAATTAATAATGTGCATGTTGTTCTCCCCCCTCCCCTCTCCCACCTGCATGCAGGGTTTTGGTTTCGTAACTTTCGAAAATAGTGCCGATGCGGACAGGGCCAGAGAGAAATTACACGGCACGGTGGTAGAAGGTCGTAAAATAGAGGTGCATGTAACAAATATTTCCCTTCTCAATAGTTTTTTGTTGGTTTGTTTGTTTTGTTATTTTTTGTTTGTTGTTGTCGTTCTTGTTGTTATTCTTGATTCTATTTTGTGTGTGCCTCACTCTCATCTCACTCTTTTAGACACATCACTCGTCTTTTCCTGTGTGTGCTCCTCTCTCTGTCTCTCTTTCCCTCCCTCCCTCCCTCCCCACATTGTATCCCTAATGCGTTTCAGTTATTCTAAGATCTCAAATCAGATGTAATACGGTGCTTGCTGTTATCTAATTGGTTTGCTTTTTTTGGCATTCACTTGTGTTTATTTGGTTATTTTCTGTTCTTTTTTTCTTTTTTTTTGCCATATTTTGGCTATAACGGGTGCAGTAAGTCATCAGGCAGAATGCAAACAGCATTTGTGTGGTGATAGCCAGAGGCCTTATTGCAAAGTTGACGAGGGATCTGCGCTTAAAGCGGCCCGAAGCCGGCAGCGCTTGTTAATTGGCCTGAAGACGCTGCTATTAGACGGAGCTGCTCTCAAACACGAGCCTTTTAAATCTACAGCTCAAATTACACTTACTTTACAGTCTAGAACAGTCACTGAAGGTGAAATAGCTCAACTGATCTGCAGGTCTGCAACAAAAGTGGGCATCTTTATAGCCGATTCCCATTTAACATTTGTGCTTCTTTCTTTAATTGATTTTTTCTTTTCAATTTTAAGAGTTATTCGCATGTGGTGCCATCTTTCAGTAAGATGTTGCCTATTTTGCCTTCTCATTTTCCCCCCTTTTCCAACGGTAGCTGGTAGGCCCCTCACCAAACTCAGTAACCGTGGTAACAATACATACACACGTGGGCTATGGCGGCGAATGGTAAGTGAAGAGAGCCATCTGCCATTTCACGAACTCCGCGCTGATACCTCGTGACTGTTTTTTGACTTGATGTTGAGTTTCTTGATGCTGTTTTCTCTTGGTACGCGTGTTACTTGAGTGAACATTTAGCTTCCTGAGAGGCTCTGATTGGATTGAACTGAATCGTGCGCATCCTACTCAGATTCTGAACTCCATGATTATGTTAAATAATGCACCCTCTTTTTATATCCTTTGTTAGCTGTCCTTTCGGCTTGAATGATTTTCTTTCGTAATTATTTTTATTTTTATTTTTTTCCTTTCTGATTATTATTCTTGTGATGAAGCACAAGGCTCTTGGAGTGATGAATGCTAAATGTTGCTTTGTTTTCCAACTGTACCTCAACTCTGAATGTTTAGTGTATGTTGCGCAGTGCCAAACGTTTTTTTTTTCTTTCTTTTTATTTCTACGTTTTCTTTCCTTTCTTTTAACCTAATCGTTCCCTCTCCACTGCATGCTGTCTCATATTTGATGCCTTTCATTTGTTGAGTGCATTTTGTGTGTTTCTGTTTTTTTTCCTTCATATACTCCTTCAACTTGGTCATCTTTTGATGACGCATGCTGACGAGTCTTTTTATGATGAGACTTTTGCATATAATTTCTTTGCTTTATATGTCTTACCACTTTTCTTTAACTGTTTGTTATGATCTGTAATCATTTTGAAAATCTTCACTATAATGCATGCAATATGTGTTAAAGCAATATTTTCAATATTTACAGCTTTAGCTTCAGAATGTTTCTTGCTCACACACTTCTGTTTGTGCTCAGGTTAACAATGCAACAGCACGGGTAATGACGAATAAAAAGACCGTCAACCCATATGCAAATGGTAAGAACAAGTTTCATTAATGTTGTGAAACATCATACAGCTTTGTATTATGTTGTGATGGACCGATATATTGGCCAGTCCAGTGTCAGTTCAGACACAATACTGTGTTTTTTCAGTAAACATGTTTTGTATTTTATATTATATTAGAGATGCACCAATACCACTTTTTCCAGTACTCGCCCAATACCGATACTTTTATTTTTGGTACTTGGCGATACCGAGTACCGATACTGATATTTTTATTGCATTTGTACATGTTTTAAATATTGGGTACAGAAACCAAAAGAGTATGTATAATGTTAGTTGGTTAACTTCATTTATCAAATAGATACAGTCAAACCAAAATTTATTCAGACACCTTCAACATTTACTAGTAAAAAAAATATAAAAAATTATGTCTCTGAATAATTTTTGGTTTGACCGTATATCCTTCGGTTATTTTCACACTTAATTATGCCCATTACAATGTATTTTCCAAGTTTTTGTTACTTTCACTGTTAATTCTTTTGCTCTGTGGTACATCATCTTTAATTTAATAGCATTAGAGCTGCTTCATTGCAGTGGCTTAGTACTGTAATCACGCGCTTTGCTGTAATAATGCAGGGAACCACTCGTTATAAATCTCCTAACTGTGATATTTTCAGAAATAGAAGTTGCGTTTTTTTCATCTGAAACGTGCTGCGGTTTATATTCCAAAGCCACTCAATGCAGAAACACTCAAGCAAGCAAAACACGCACAACGCGTGCACGTATTTGTACTGGTGCAGAATGAGAGGGACAAGAAGTACAGCCTAGCGCATTTCACACAGGCTGCTAGATTCATTATTCACTGACTAGAAAGTTGTGTATGCCTAAGGTTGAAAATAAATTATGTTTATAGTGAATGCCCCTATAAATGGTCTTATTTTTACGATTTAGTTTTAATCCAAATGATGCGTGTGCTAAGTGAGTGAACATCAAAGATCACACAACACAAGTGCGCGTGCACTCTCTCTCTCTCTCTCTCTCTCTCTCTCTCTCTCTACCGTTAAGTAACTTGTGCATTGTTTCACTTACTTGTTTTTGACTTATCCGACCGAACTACAGACTTTCCAGTGATGTCTGTGAGAAAGGTATATTCACTCGACAAGCTCGCGCATCTGTGCCGCTGCGCGCTCAATCCACTCAGCATGCTTTGCTTGTCAGCTCGCGCACATCAGCTATACAGGTGTTAATACCAGTGTTGGGGAAAGTTACTTTTAAAAGTAATGCATTACAATATTGCATTACTCCCTAAAAAAGTAACTAATTACGTTACTTAGTTACTTTTTATGGAAAGTAATGCGCTATATTACTTTTGCGTTACTTTCGTGTTACTTTTTAAATATAAGCAGGGCTCGATTGTTGTTAATATAAGAAGTTCTATTTATAGCAAATATAAAAGTCCTTTCACACCAACAAGTGTAATGAATGAACCTCAGGCTGAAGCACAAGTAAGTTCACGTCTGTACAGTAGAACGCAGGAGAAGAAACACTCTTCAGCAATAAAAAAACAAAGCACAATTGTTAGTTTATCTAAAGTCATTTTTGCTTATTAGTATGGTTGAACTGGATCATCAAAGGTCAGCAGCAAAGATATTGGTTAATAAAATGGGATTAGATACATTTGTGTTATTTAACATTTAATTATTGCAGGATTGCATCATATTCTGAGTTTGCATTTCACTGTTTTAATTCATTTTGATTAATACAAAATCAGTTTTTTGTGAGTGGGATGAATTAATGCACATTCACATTTAGTCTAGAACTACATCATGTTCACACAGCGCACACAACTCCTCTGCACTTCCGATTTCTCCCAATATGGGGACAGGAGAGCTGTCAGTCAATACATGGGAAAACAAAGTAACTGGCGTTACTTTTTTGAAAAAGTAACTCAGATATTTTCTTGTAAATTAAAAAAGTAATGCGTTACTTTACTAGTTACTTGAAAAAAGTAATCTGATTACGTAACTCGCATTACTTGTAATGAGTTACCCCAACACTGGTTAATACTGAATTTTTAACATTATTATATTCATTGCATACATATACTTCGTAGACATCCTTAATCTCTAATAACTCTATTCTGATGTCTGTTGTCTGTGTTTCTTTTTCTGAATATGGCACTCATCACATGGTGTGTGGTATCGGCGTTTGGTATCGGTGCATTTTAACGAGTACGAGTACGAGTACAGGAGCTCAGTATCGGTATCGGTGCATCCCTATATTATATACAATATTTTGAGTGTAAAATAAAATAATGATAAAATAATTTTATATCATTTCATTTTTTACATCATATCATCTGATGTCTGAATGGTATCGGTGCATCCCTATATTATATACAATATTTTGAGTGTAAAATAAAATAATAATAAAATAATTTTATATCATTTAATTTTTTACATCATATCAGCTGATGTCTGAATGTGAGAGCAATAGTAAAATGCTTCTATTTTTCTAAATTTTTCTAATTTATACCTATGTACAAATTACATAAGTTTAGTAAATAGTTGAATTGCCATTCTTTTAATGACAGCAGCACTGTCACAAGTTTGCATAAGACCAGCAAAATTTGAGGTTTAACCGAAGAGCATCTTGTGCTGATCAGTGCCACAAATTTACTCATTTAGTTAACAACCTAGTAACAGTGCAGAATTGTAAATATTTCACATTGATTTATTAGCATGCTAGTTTGCAAGTCAATCTTAGACCAAGTTTGCAACTTCACAAACAGGAAACTTTACTGTCTTATTCACACTCAATAACTTTCTCTGGCCACAGACCTCTCACGTTCAAACTAAAAAAGAGTGCTTGTAATTGTCAGTTTTCTGAGAATGTTTTTCACAGCAGTTCTCTTCCTCACCGAAAAAGTTTAAATGGAATTGAAATGCCGAGACAACCTTTTAGATCTCAGTTTATATCACTGAAATCTCTCTCTTTTTTGTATGTATGGAGGGCTCAAACAGACAGGCCATTTGTAGATGTTAGAATCAGAGAGAAATCTGTCAAGCTGCTCTGTGCCCTTTCCTTACTCTGGATGACAGCAGTGCTTCAGGGTGGTCAGCCCTCTACTGACATCATTACACATGGGCCTGGAGGTTCTAGTTAGCCAGAATCCAACTCTTTGTCTTGTGTAGGATCAGATGTAGATTTTTAGTAGTGCAGACTGAGGTGGCTAATATCAGATCTCGCTCTCTGTCTTATGTCTAGGCTGGAAGTTGAATCCAGTCATGGGTGCAGTCTACAGCCCAGAATTCTATGCAGGTGAGTGGATCCACATTTAAAAGAAATTGGCTCTGTAATGAATTATATCTTTAGTAAAAAAGAATTGGGTATGCATGTTATTCTAATGATGAAACTGTTTGATTTTTGGACATAAAATAGCACAATAAAAAATAAAAATATGAAAATATGGGGAAGAATGCCATTGGAAATTATCAAAAGCATTTTTTTTCTTCTTAAAAAGCAAAAAATTATGAATAAATAAATAAAATGTTGATTTAAAAAATAAATAATTTTACTAATTGATATATTTAAATGTAGAACTCCTATAAATAAATGTAGAACTCGTATAAACTAAAATCGACCAAATTATAATTTATCTTCACCATTCTATGGATTTTTTTCTGAACATATGAAGCATAAATCAAAATTATGTTCTTCATGAATAAACACAATCATATTACTATAAATGCTTCAAAATAAATAAATAATTGCGCAAAGTATTGCTGTAACACAGTGGGTTAAATGCATTTGCATTCAGGGCTAATGGGCAGTTCACGAATGTGCATTGTGTGTGTGAAAAAAGTTCTCAACCCACATGCCCTGAATCATCTGTTTATGAACACTACAGAGGATATGAAATGGTGAATTACTCTGATATCAGATATGATATTTTCATGTTCCTTTCAAAAAGCAAGTTTAAGAGCTCATTATTTTCCGGTTACATTATTTTATTACCATATATTGGACTTATAGTGTCTCCAAAAAGTATTGACAGCTTAAAAATGTATGAATCTCATTGCATTAGATAAGTCATTGTATGAAAAATCAAAGAAAACGCCATTCATTTCGAAGAAGTGCACTTTTCACGCTAACAATTTGATAATTCATAGTAAATATGACGAACTACACCAGTGGTTATCAGTGGTGGCTCGTGGGTTTTAAAATAGAGGAGGCACACTAATTGTATTGGTCTGGGGATCCCTGCCGATTATTATTATCATTATTATTATTATTATTATTTAACCACTTTAAAATGGCTTTTTGGTTGCTTTTAGTAAGAAAACTTAAAGAAAACGACACACATACAGCAAGATAATATAATTTCACTTACCTGGCCTATCACTTGAAGCAAACATCCATCCCTTCTTAAAAGTCTGTCTGTTTGTTAAAAGATGTTGTGCCATTTAATTAAGCCGACTTCTGTAGCCTATATCAGTTAGGCGTGTTCTCCCTTTATATTTAATTTGTATATATACTGTTTGAATGACAGCTTGGTAAATCTGTTGGCGATCAAATATTCAATATCGCTACTCATCATAAGTAGGCCTACTTGGTACATTATCAGCGTAGCGGGAGACATTCAAACTAATATCACGTAATTTATGTCTCTATGATGATTGGTTGATATACCAGAAGGAGGCTAGCCTCCTCTGCGAGGTTTCTTTTCTCAACACTCCTCAGCGCTGAAAGTGAACACTCGATGCTGATTGGCTATTTTTGTTTTTACCAACGGAGGCACGAGAGCTCAGCTCTCCCCCGGCCTCCCCCTCCCCTTCTCTATCATTAGCGGTTGTAATTTGGCAGATTTGGCACATTCGCGATAGAAAAGCGGCGTTTTCCAACTTCAGTAACATGTTATTACAGCTGTGAAATTACAAAAAAAAACAAAAAAATACACATTCTTAGGCATGACCTGAAATGAATTGTGAATTTTATTAACATTAAATCGTCCTCCTCCCATTTTCACCTCAAAATTATGGGGAAGCTGTGCCTCCCCTGCCTCCCCTGACGAGCCGCCACTGGTGGTTACTTTGCAAATAAAATTACCTCAGAAATGCGAAGTTACTTCTGAGAAAACTGTATCATTTGTTATATATGCCACTTGTCCAGCTAACAAAATATGTTCTATGTACGTTTAGCTAATGTTTCCATTAAATTCTGAAAATGTTATATCTGAATGTTCTCTGAACATTCAAAACATCCAGTTTTTTTATTTTTGTTATTATTATTGTTATATTTTTAATTTAATGTTTTTTTTAAAGTGTTATTTTGGTTATGCAAACGTTAAAGGAACATTCCATTTTATAATGGGAACGTTACTTTTGAATGTTCTCTGAACGTTCTGAAACAAGTAACATTTAAAAACGTTTCAGAATTAAAACATCCAGTGAACAATGTGTAAGTAATGTTTTTGTGTTAATGTTTTGAGAACATTAGAAGAACATTAATTTCTACCTTCGAGAGAACCTAATGAAATTCTACAATTTTAATAGTGACTTAAAAAGTGTCCAGATACTTGTTGAGTCTTTGTCAGTACTGTTTATTTTTTTTGGTTAAAAATATTAACCACAAAACAAGCAGAAAATTGTAACAGTTGTTGTTTAACTGCATTATTTGATGCAGGCATAGTTCTGGGGCTGGTGTTTGGGGGTGTGTATAACGGGTGACCTTATTCTACGGGCTCTGGCATAGGCTTGAAAGAGCTGGCAGGCAGGAAGTGATGTTCTAATCACCCAAAGGGCCTGTTTCACAATGTGCATCTGTGTTCACTAGCCTATTGGCAAGAGGCTCCAAGACGCCATTGTCACAACTGCAAACATGCTACACATCTTTGAAAATCTAATCCAGCGAGCGTCCAGACCCCCAGGGCTTCATTTCATTTTATGGGCCTTTGAAAACGAGCAGGTTTCGTTGGTTGAAATACACGCTGAACTATTTTTCTCTCGTTTCCTTCGGTCATCTCCTCCTCAACCTTGGCCATCCCAGCCTCTGACCTTGCCCGAACATCATTACCTCCTCCATTATATGGGAAAATATAGAGATTTTATGATAATAAGAAGAAACGGGAAGGCAAAAATATTGAGGTGATGGTTAAATCTAATTGTCTGTCGACGCAAGGGCATCAAAGAGCTGAAATATATCTTATAAAATTAAAATCAATATTTTCAATTTCTCTAGACCGTCGTTTGCCTAATTCAGCGCACATTCTGTTAATTACAAAATGGCTCATTATTGATTTGCTTTCGTCTCACCTTTCAAGTGTCCAAACAGCCCACATCCCATTAAGGTGCGAATGTTTCATTCTTTTCAGCGCTCACTGTTTCTTTTTTTTCAGATCTCTGTCTTAATTATAATTAAAGTGTCGTTAATACGCCCCAAATTGTGCCAATATCAGAAAACGCCTCAGATCCTTTTGTTTGTCTAACGGCTGAAATAGGTATTGGCACATAGCTGCTTAGATTGCAGATAGAAAGACTGCACAGAGCAATTGAGCATGAATTTGAATGGTGACTAGTAAGCTAGAAAGTTACCTATATAAACAAATATTCTGAAGGACCGGGATGGAAAAGGAGCGTCTTTGATTCATGAGACAGTCCTGTATGTATGACGTGAGGTTGGTTTCTGAACAAGCCTCAGCGGTTGCCACTCGAAGCGGCTCTCACCTGCGGCAGACTGTTTGAGGTTCATTAACAGTTCTCCGGCTGAGGGGAATGAAAGCTACCGGCAGAAGGCTGAGGGATGACCAACGTGCCAGACCTCGCTTGTCTGCAGGGCTGATCTCTGATTAAGTGCTACGCCTGACGGAGATTGGGCGGATGTTTGAAAATTAGACTTCCAGCAATTTACACCCAGAGATTATGCAAATTGAGGCCACCTCTGACCACGGGAAATCTGAGGCTCTTCTTTAAAGACACACACATACACACTCTTTCTCTAATGCATGTGTTTTTTGTTTTGTTTTGTTTAGGTTTTTCAGGAAATGAGTTCCCACACAAACAAGGTTAAAAAGATGCAGCTCTAGCAATTATTTTTTCATATGCTGTCTGATAACACATGCTCTCTTAACAAAAGGCAAACATAAGGGTGTTTCCTCAACTATGGGCACTTTTACAAGATACACGTCTAACAGCCATACTCGTGCATGGACACATGCATCACAACAGAATTCTTGTCTCATTTTTGTTCCTGAACCAACAATGTAATTTCTATCACGTGTCAAACTGGTTTTCCTTGATAAGGTAAATTTTATGATTAGCATTTTATTTTATTTTGATTCAGAATTCTGAGATAAAAAGTCTTACTATTTCTTTTTTTTTTCTTTATACATTTTTCTGTTCCATAATTACAGCATCATTGGAAATGACACACAATAAAATATTCCATTTAAAAATGTATATATATTTGTAGTGAGAAAGAGCGGCTTCCAAATCTTCTATACTTATTTTGCTGGATCTGTCTGCTGCTTTTGATACGGTGAACCACCAGATTCTCCTGTCAACCCTATTGGAAAATGGCATCTCAGGAACCGCACGCCAGTGGTTTGAGTCTTACCTCTCAGATAGGTCCTTCAAGGTATAAGTCCTTAACCATCTTCAAGAAACGACTGAAAAACACATCTGTTCCACCTTTATTTGACCCTCTAACTCTAACACTTTCTATTCTATTTTAATTCTACTTTATCTATATCTATATTTATCTTTTTTTTTTACAACAAAAAACAAACAAACACTAGCTTTCTATTTTTTCTATTCTATCTACTTGTTTTTCTTTGTGTGTGTGTGTGTGTATATATGTGTGTGTGTATAATATATATATACATATATATACATATATATATATATATATACACCTTGCTATGTGTACTGCGTTAGGCTAACCGTGACTTGTCATTTGCACTTATATATTGTTGCTCTTTTGTTAGTTTTGACTGCTTTTATTGTCCTCATTTGTAAGTCGCTTTGAATAAAAGTGTCTGCTAAATGACTAAATGTAAATGTAGTGCAATGAAATTCAACCATTTTAATTGTGACTTGGGTATCCAAATACGATCTAGGGTCTCTGGCAGTACTGAAACAACAGAAAATTGTAACAGTTGGTTGTAACTACATTATTTTAACTGTGCAATTCCACAGTATATAACATTATGCAATTCCATTTTCCTTGCAATATTTACCTTGATTTTTCTTTGATGTCATCACACATCGTGTCTCATATTTTAGCTAAAACATAATCATCACTGACACTGTTGTCTCTTTGGTAACCACACACACACTAATATGTTTATTATTATTCATATGTTAATAATAAATATAAATAGTCATATAATTATAACTATAAATTGTTATATATAAAATTATTTCTTTATTTCACTGTTTTAGATTATACATATATACATATATACTGTACGTGTGTGTGTGTCTGTGTCTGTGTCTGTTTGTGTATGTGTGTGTGTGTGTGTGTGTGTGAGTGTGTGTGTGTGACATCTGTTTGAATTGAAATCAACCGCCGAGACATGAAAATGCCTACAAGTTGAAGAAATGCACACATTAATACTCACACCATTCAGACTATGACTTGTTTCTCTGCACACACATGCACACATTCATTTATTGACCTCAATTTCTCTTCTTAAATGTTTATTGGCAAATAAATAATTAATCACAAATTGATAAACTAATTTCCTTAAGTGAGAGGAGAGGAAGGGTGACTTCTCTGTGCCCAACATTCAGATTATTGAATTTTCAGAAAAAACAGACAGAGAGAGTTTCAGCCATATGAACTAAAATGGAATATGTTGGGTCATAATGATTTAGAGTCATTTGTATTGACTTGACAGTTTTGCAGCGCTAATGTTTCAGTGTTTTAGTATGACATCACTGTCCCTGCTCTCTCACTTTGATTGAGTCCTGACTGAACGAGAGCCACCTCTGGTTGAAAAGTGACGTGCAATTAACGGAGCGCAAGAGAAGAATTTGAGAATTTTCAAAAAGGCAGCAGCAAAATGGAATTAATTTGTGCAGATAGGCTATCGTGGAAGACAACAAGCGGCTTTTAGTGGAAGGATGAAGCGTTTTAAAGCAGAATGAAAGTACTTTTGGTGACTGCTTCTGTGTTGTACATTGAACATTTGAGATTGCATTGTGGGAAGAAATAATATGAAATGACCCTGACATGTGTACAGAGGTGATTAAAAATGTACAAAAGACTGCTTACTTTGAGATTACATACATTTGGATTATAAAGCTGCCAGTTGGGGAGGGCCTGTAGAGAACAGTGTATGTGAATAGTGACTGTCTACTTACTTGTTTTATATATAAGGAAAATAACTGCAAATTTAATAGGGATGGGTCAGATAGTCAGCAAGTAATCCAACAACTGACTAGCTGACTAGTAATCTAGATTTATTTGCAAATGAGTGATGAATCAATCAGAAATGTTCCCTCTTATTCAATTAAAACTTTTATTTTAATTCATTTTATTTTTGTTGATAATTGTAATAATTATTTCTTATTTATTCATTAATTATTCCCATTGTTTCATATTTTAATTGCTTTAATTTTATTTTCTTAATTTTCGTAATGTCATTTTATTTTCAGTAGAGATGATTGATAATTTCATATTTTATTTTCAGTCAGTTTATTTTAATTAATAATTTTCATAATTTGTTTGATTTTCATTTTTTTTCATATTTTAATCATTTCATAATTCTTCATTTGATTAAATTTTTGTTCGTTTTGATATTTTTTTTATCTTTATATTTTAATTGTTTTTTTGTTTTGTTTTTTGAACTATTAATTATCATGGCAACAGCTTGCTGTGCATTAAATCAAACTTTAAATTAGATTAAAAAAATATTTACATTTATCCTCTTTAAAATACCACTCCTATAACCATGCACATTAAGGTCCATTTTCAAAATATAATAGCTAAATCTTAGGTAAGAATACATATAGATTAATAATCAAAGTATTTAGTCTTGATCCTAGTTTGAACATGAGTATTTCACTGCAAACCACAAACTGCTGAATTATCCATACTCAATACGCAATGCATTTGATCTGAAAGCTGTGAGATTGTTGTCTAATTTTGAAGCGCATCTTGTTTATATATGCATCTGTATATATGTCTCTGCGGTTTGCTGCACTGTGAAAGGTTGCAGAGCGTGATGCACAGGGCAACCAAACCTCCTGCGATATTTATAAAACATGAGCTCTGCCCACACGTCAACCCCCCCAAACACTTCCCACATAAAAGCCAATGAGATAAATTATTGCACTACAAAGCAGTTGTACACTTTTATGGCTTTGATGCGGAGGCTACCTCCCGTCGGCCAGAGCATCTGCTTCACTGTAATCGCTCTCAAAGCAATAAAACGGACTAACTCTCCTGTGCATCCCCCGGAGCTCGCTGCTGCTGCTGCTGCACGCTCCCATTTCTCATTCAGCGGCACTTGCCGTTGCTCTATCTCGCTCTCTCTCCGTTTTCATCTAGCCCTCCACCCTTCATCGTTCTAAATGAAAGTGCATAGTCTAAGTTGTTTATCCTGTAAATATTCAGGCTAAATACATCTCATATTTATTTTCCTCAGGACACATTCTACACATCAAAGTGAAGCTCTGTGAACGTGTATGCAGCATATTTCAAAACTGGCTGTCAGATGGGCTGCCTGGCATGGAAGGAGAAAGGAATACATATGACTAATGAATCTTTATTGGTGTTTTTTTAAATGCAGCATTAACGTTCCATTGTAGGGTTTTCAAAAACATTTCTCAAAAGCTATTAGTTGTATGCATGATAGGATTTTCATTATTTAGCCTTGGAATAAACCACTATATATATATATATGTGTGTGTGTGTATGTATGTGTTTATTTATATATATATAAATGTATGTTAACATTACAAATATGGTAGGTAATGTCTTCCTTTATAAATACAGTAAACTGGAAAGTAAAATGTAGAGTTCATTTAGCTGTAATTCATTTTTTTATATAATAAGACAGCTGTGGCGCACTGTGTGAAAACGAGACATATCCAAGGTGACAAAGAGTCAAATGGAACAATCCTTTTCACCTTTCTACATCACGCAAACCCCTTTCTTAAATCTTAATTTTTTATAAAGATTCAGTGCTCCTATTAGATATTTATATGATCTCCTTTTGAAAACCTGTAATGTTTAAGAATGGAGCAGCTTTCACAAACCCCCTCTCTCTTTCTTCCTCTCAACCATTTCAAATTAAGCCTCTTAAAAGTCATTTTCACCACCGACGCCCTATTAAACTTAATGATCATTTAACAACAATACAAAGCTTTCTGTTTTCACCCAGCCTCAAAGGTCTGTATGCCTCCCATAGTTTGGTTATTCATTGTTAGAGTTTTCGGCTAATTGCAGGTGTAGCTGGAGGAAGGGCACCATTCCTCACAGCTCAGATTAGTGGAGACTTGTGGAATTATAGTTCATTTGGCAGTTTATTACACAGCGTTCTGGAATACTTGATTCTGATTGGTCAGCCGTGGCATTCTACAGTCAAATATTACATTAGATAACTGCATATTTGACTGTCCCTAGCAACACTGATCTATTTTTTGTATCGCACCTGTTGTGTCTTTGTTCTCACATATTAAAACAATTTCACCTCAAATCAATCCTTTTTCCATTTAGTTGCTTATTTCATAAGTAGCAGTGTAATCACCCTGGGGGGGGGGGTATTTTTGCAATAATGAGTCTTACTGTGCGTATTGGAGTTTATAAAGGGGTCATGTCCTGCAATTTTGCATTTTATTTTTCCCCAGAAGTACTAAAAACTATTTTAGTTTGGTTTTACGTGACCATTTTTGCCTCTCAGGATTTTTTGCTACTGTACCTTTAAGACATATATATGTAAATTACATCTTTATGATTGGTTAATCTCAGCATACTGACAAAGTGCACACTGTCGTGCATCAGGGTAGGCCAAGTTGCTGAATACTGAATCGGCGTTAATGTATATATGTGGGAGGCCTGTTAATGTGCCCATGATGGGATGTCACAGTACTTCAAACTCTTTATTTCAAAACAGCATGAAAAGCCTGTCTTTACATTTACACAATGATGGTTACCAATGCTGTTTTAGTATTACTTAAATATTATTATAGTATTTATTAATATTATATTATTTTAGAAATATTAATCATATTTTATTTTTATATTTACAGTTCTCATTTTTAAATTTTGTGCTTTTGGCATTTTTATTAGTTTTGTTTTTATCAAATAATTATATTTAGGCATTGATTTATTTTTACTTCAGTTTTAGTCATTTTAATACTTACAGATTTTCTCATTTTCATGAGTTAAGTTTACGTTTTTCATTTAATATTCATATTTTTATTATTTTTCAGCTTTACAGTATGTGTACTTAACTTACAGTGTACTTAACCAGGAAAGTACTGGGTAGTATAAAGTACCTACACAGGTTAAGGTTAGGTTTAGGGGTGCTTCAGGGTTAGTACGTAGTTATTACCCAGTTAATTGTAATTGTTATAATAAGTACATAGTATGTACACGTGGAACAGGTCTATAAAATAAAGTGCTACTGTGTTTGTTACTCATGTTACATATACTTACTATAGTATATGCATAATTACATGCAGCTACCCTTAACCCTATAATATGTTGTTAATTAATTACACTGTAACAAGGACACCATAAAATAAAGTGTAACCCAATTTTGAATAGTTTCAATACAAAAACAACACAGTTTCAAACCAGTTTAACTATCTTTCTTCTGTGATGGCTCCTCATATATGAACTGTATGTTTTCCCCACAGTGCCAGGCTTCCCATACCCAGCAGCCACAGCGGCAGCAGCGTACAGAGGGGCACACTTAAGAGGAAGAGGTCGCACCGTTTACAATACGTTCCGGGCAGCTGCGCCTCCCCCACACATCCCAGCCTATGGGGGGTAAGTTACAACACTCCCTTCTCACATTCACACACACAAGTTCACCGTTAGTCCTCTCTTCTGACAACCACTCCCCCTCGTCACTGGGCTGCTGTAACATGCATGCATCTCTACCTCACCACACAGAACCAGTGCAGCATGAAACCCGTGCATCCTGCAAGTAATGATGACAGTCAACCCTCATGCTGTTCTGTCATGGTCGATGGCCTTAAGCGTTTCTTTTTTAAATCCTCTCGAACAACTGAATGCAGAAGCATTTGTGATCTCTGAGCAGTCAAATGGTGATTCTGATTATTTTGGTTGATTTCATGTATGTAACTGCAAGCCGATAATATTGATGGAGGTTTTGTGGCATTTTGAGGTTTCAGGGGCCACAGGCTAGTTTCCACTGCCTGCTGTCTTGTGTAAATTGACAAATGGGAAGGTTAGAAGATTCACAGCAAAAATAAATTTAACACAAATAATCAAAAATAAAAAACATGCCACTTTAACTGTGTGATAAATATAAAGGAAATATCAGTGCTGGTAAGGCATCAATAGAATTTTTTGATTTTAGTTTAGAAGTTTTTGATATGATTTTTAGTCTTTGGATTTGCCAAGTCATAAAACTAAACACAAAATATAGATTTGATTTTATTAGATTTTAAAGGTGACATATTATGCCCCTTTTTACAATATGTAATACGTTTCAGCTCAAAATACTCCACAGATCATTTATTATATAATTTTAAAAATGCCTATTTTGAGTGGAAGCAGAAACGAGCTGTTTTTCGGGCCTGTGTCTTTAAATGCAAATGAGCTGCTGCTCCCCGCCCCCTTTTCCAGAATAGAGCTGCGCCTTTACAGCTCGTATCTGCTAAAAACATATGTTTTGGTTCTGATTATCATGTTTATCGCGCTGAAATCATGCGTTTTAAACCATGAATTTAAACTTCAGATATAAGGTTTCTGAGCGCACACATCCAAAGCACACGGACAGAAAGCGGCTGTCACAGCATGTGAGTACTAAACTAAGTTCTCATTCACACACAAGTTTACGTTAAAAACACACGAGTTACAAAAACAGTCGGTTATGTCTGTGGAGGTAAACAGCTGGGAAATAAATTGCATGTTTATTTTAGGTCTGTGTGGCAGCAGCAATATACAGTAAATAAATCAATAAATCCACTGCTCTCTTGTCTGCTCTGAGGCTGGGACTCTAAATAGTGTTCTGTGCTCGTCTGTGCAGCCAAAGACAGAACAGTTTCGCCATGGCATTAGAGCTGGTACACCGTTGTCGCTTACAAAATCAAAATGCCGGTGCCTTGAGTGGAAGTTTACAGATTAAGGGGCGGTAATATTATAATGAGATCCCTTTGCAACGTCACAGAGGGAGCGAAATCAAACGCGCTCGTTTTCTCAGACGCTTGCAGAAAAAGGCTTACCAAAACAAAGTTACTGGGTTAATCTTTTTCACATTTCCTTGGTTGGTAGATGCACCAGGGACCTGATTATAACACTTAAAACCTGGAAAAGTCAGATTTTCATGATATGTCACCTTTAAAGAATTATCAAGTCAAGTCACCTTTATTTATATAGCGCTTTTAACAATACAGATTGTGTCAAAGCAACTGTACAGCATTAATTAGGAAAATAGTGTGTCAATAATGCAAAGTGACAATAGTAAACACTAATTTTTCAGTTAAAGACAGTTCATCATTGAATTCAGTGATGTCAACATCCAGCTCAGCATATCAACATTTTACAGCTTTGAATGTTGCTCAGAAATGATTAAATGTATGTAATTCAAAATTCAGTATGCAAATAAATGAAAGAAGACAAGCAACACAATTCAGTTAGCAAATATTACAATGACATCACTGTCACCCTCAGTTACATTTTAAATGCCATTAAGCGATCATTAAGTGATTTTCAAACTTTAAGCAAAATGTTTAAAAGTATTGTTTACAAAGAAAACAATAGCACACATAAGACTGAAATTATCCACAAAACAAAAGTAAGAATGGAATCTGTTAAGAAGTTTGAATTAATTTTAGAAGTGTAATAATTTAACGCTATTCCAAAACAATATATTTGATTATTCATAATAATTATAATAATTATTATTATTACATTTTTCTCATTTTTAACATTTTCTACATACATTTTTCTTTCCCATTTTTTCCATTTTGCTAATGTCTAAAATATGATGTGAGGCAGTTTCAGCTCTCTGTGGCCCCTGTATGAAGCCTTTACTCCAGTCTCCTTTTAAATTACTTCAAAAGTGATGAGTGTTTGTAGAGAGCCTTTGTCACTCTTATTCAGTGTGTGTACTTCTTATTCTGTTCCACTAACCCTGGCTAGAGATGGGGTTGGTATTGCTTGCATGGGAACATGCACTAATATTGATCTGTTTTGTTTGTTGTGTTTGGTGTTTGTCTGTGTGTGTGTGTGCGCGTGGGTTTGCATCTTTCCAGTGTTGTTTACCAGGATGGATTTTATGGTGCAGATATATATGTAAGTATTCGCATGTCGTCCTTGAATGATCATGTACATACCCCCCCCCCCCCCCCCCCC